AGCAGCCTTTATGGCGGGGATTTCTCACTAGTGTTGTACTATAATTTCTAAGTTTCAGGACTGCTTTCCACAATTCCTAAGAAAGGTAGAATGCTAATGTTTTTGATTTTGATATGATTCAAAAAGAAAGGAAGAGAGGGGTAATAACTGTCCCTCCTGTACTCTAGGGTGTCACCAAATGACTTGAAAAACTGGATACCACCATGGCTGTTTAAGGGGATGAAGAACAATTAGTGATGAAAGACAGAACCAACCAACCAAAACTGACTGACTAAACATGGAAGGGGAGAGAGAGACCTAAAAAGTCACAGAATGTTACTTAGATACGAAATTAAAAGTGTGTGTTTGGTGGGGGGGGGGGGGAGTGAGTGTTCCCTGTAACAAACCTTTAAAAACATATTTGGTGGATGTGTGTGTGTGTGTGTGTATGTGAGAGAGAGTGCGTGTGTGTGTGTGTGTGTGTGTGTGTGTACTGGAGGACATGTGTGGATGTCAGTGGAAAATAGGGCTCCTCTACATTTGATGATGAATCGTGTCTTTAAAGCACTACGTCCTACAAACCCTCCTCTCACTAGTCAATGGGATTGCTGCGCTAGCTGAACCCCAGTAGTTATGGCAAGCTTGTAGGCACCAAACATTCTGCTATATCCTGTAGGAGTCAGCGGTCTACATCTTGCTGGACATTTTCTGCAGGCTGTCTTGGCTGGGAATGGCTTGGGTAGGGTTCTATTATCAAACCAGTGCAATTTTAAGTGGCTACAGCAGAGCTCCAGAGTGCTCAGAAGAGCATCTTGTGTGTATATAAGATATCCAAATGTGGTTACAGAAGGGTGCCGTTATAATCAGGTTTGAGGCCAAAGCTTCAGATTTAGGCTTTCAATTGTGTCTCATACTGAACCATGCCAGACGTTGTAACAGGAGTCAGGTTCCGGTCCAGAATACTTAACCGGTTGACCTTGTTGAGTAGGCCAACCACCTCAACATTGGGAGACTGTGTAGGGCCTGAGAGCACAATCTGAAAAGCATTAGATGACAGCTTGATGTGGTGTCAGACCCTCTCAGTGTTTTGTGTGCATTGTTCTATGGTGTCTAGACAAGGAAGTTAAACTGTTTCTTTATCCAATGTATTTATTAAGTTCCTGAGCATGGTTTTCCAGGCATGATTTGATTATGAGCCTCCATGGTGTCATTTTTTTCCCATCAGACATATAGGGGTTTCTTCCTTTCTGTTCTCAGATATAAGTCACTGTTCAGTCTGTGCTGGATGGGCCATGCATGATGAATGGTGTTGTTTCCGGATCTACCCAGAATCTATATCTTCTTTTTCCTTCAAAAAGAAGATAAGAGCTGATTTTTAACATAAGTTTACTGAGACAAGGCATTCTTTGAAAAAACACTATTTGATAGACCTGGAAGTTAATCCCACCAATTGAGAATAAGATCATTATCACAGTTGAATGCTAAAATTGAAGCAAGTTCTAATTAAATACTGGCTTGGATGATGGCTTCTGGCCAGATATCTGTCTCTAGTTTTCCAGAAGATGGATCCTGAATCAGGGTTTATGATGTGTTAAGTATTTCTCATCAGGTTCAATCAGGGCCAAGCCTATATCCTGGCTTATCTCTAGTCTATATACAATCAGGGGCAAGTGTATATCCAACATAAGTATTTCCTGTTTGTGAACTTGCCCACATATGATCAAGCACACTCTAGTGCAGGCAAGTGAAACAAACTTGTTTGTGGGAGTGAAAAGCATGTGGCTTCTTATCTCCCATAAACAAGAGCCTCCAACATTCCAGGAACTATCAATTCTTGGGCAAGGAATAGGCTTGCAAATCATAGACATTTTTGTTTCAGGAATCCCATAAGGCACAGTAATTAAAACTTAAAATGTAACTTTTAAGAGCTGTAATATCAGCAGTTAAGATTGGAATGAATTTTCTTAAATGCTGATATTGAAATCACAAGTTGTGAATTTATAATGAATGGCCTTGAGGACAGACACAACGTATACCGTTTTCAAAATAGAAGTATACCGTTTTCAAAACAGAAGTCCACACCCATGCTTTTATTTTGTTTCATTGTTTTTCCAAGCTCGTCTTTGCTTCTCTTAATTCTATTAGTACAAAGAAAAAAAAAAGTATATTTAAATTTTTTTTCTTCAAATAACCCACAATTTATTCAATGGTGGCTTAAAATTGTGAAAAACAATTGTTTTCTATCAAAAGTCACTAGCTTGGGGCTGAGAGTTGGTGGTGCACAATTTTAATCCCAGCACTCAGGAGGCAGAGCCAGGCTAATCTCTGAGTTTGAGGCCAGGCTGGTGCAGAAAGCAAGTTCTAGGACATACTATAAAGTTCCAGAGAAACCCTGTGTGAAAAAAAAAAAAAAAAAAAGTAACTAGGTTATCAAGGACCACTATTTCATAAACATCTTCCTCCTTTAAGGTCTCGCACATTAAAAAAATTTTGTTTACACAAATCTGGTACCTCCATCCACCCCCAACATGTTCCCAGAATTTAGTGACCTAGAGCAAGACAACTTTCCTCTTTCTGTTTCTTTGTATCAATTCCTTTTAAACTAGGCAGTCTCACAAGATTGTGAGGTAAGATTCGAGCTACAGGAGGAGACACACCACTTCATTACAATAAAAGCCAAGTGGACTTCCTGTACCTTTGTACTACTTAGCCCAGTGTGGTTCTTGTTAGCCTGCTTTCTCTTTATCTTTCTGTCTCTCAGATGCAGGGGTTTCATTATGTAGCACTTGCTGCCCTGCTCTTTATATAGACTAGGCTGGTCTCACATTCATAGAGTTGTGCCTGCCTCCCAAGTGTAGGATCAAATCTCCTAGCAAGGCCTGGTGAACTCTTTCAAAACAAAGAAACAACAACAAACAAAAAACAAACAAATCACCTTAAAGAGATGTATTTGTTCCCTTTGGCCTCATGTTCCTTTGTTTCACATTCAGATTATTCTTTCTTGTGTCACAGCCAAGGATCTGGTATGACCTGGGTTGGTGCCCTCAAAAGATTAAGCAAACTCCTTATGCTGTGAGCAGCAGTGAGGTGTCTTTCTTTTCCTGTTGCCAAGAGACTAATGGTACATATGTCCAAATGGAAGTATTTGCCTTTTCATGTACATATATGAAGTAAAAGAATTTGCTAAACACTATACCAAATTATGTCTTTTGCACTGCAAACTGAGGGAACTTGAGAAACAGCAAATTCAGGGAGGGACTTGATTTGAATTTCCTTTTAATGACCAAAGACAAATGTTCAAAAGTTACTGCAATGAGTTTCTTCCAAAAGCATCTCCAGTACAGATTGTCTACTGGGGCTTGAAGATCAATTCCCTGCTTTAAATATACTTGCCACAAGTGATTTCTCCTGAGAGTATGTTCAGATCACTCATTTTCCACTAGTTTTCCTGTATATCCTCCCTGCTCCAGTAAGGATGAATATACACTTCAAGACCTCCCAGAAGTTTAGGGTATTTATTTTCTTCATGCAATATACATGTGTACAGTTTGTATCTGTTTGCCATCATTTACTTATTCATGGAACACTCAAGTGGAGAAGGAACGTTTATCCTTCACAGGAATTCAGACTGAAATTCTTCTGGCTGTATACTACAGCTGGTGGACATAACTATAGACAATAAAGGAGGATTTCTTAAGCCTTGCTACAGAGTAAGACCCCTGTCTCTCTCACACATACACAAAGTTCAAAACCAAAACCAAATAACCCTCCCCAGAAAACACAAACCCAAGTGAAGAAACAAATGTGTGGAAGGTATCTCATTACATTCTGTGGACAATCTAAATCATATAGTTCATAATTTATTTCTTTTTCAGTATTTTATCTTGGAGGGTATTTCACAGTTTGGTCTCACCTCAGAGAAGACTGGATTTGTGTTGCAGTACCAATTTGGTCTTTAATTTCCTCAACTTAAAAGTAAGGAAGACAATAGAATTCATTCCATAGGATACTATAGACATAGATACATTACAGAAAATGGTTAGACTTTTATTAACATCTCAGGAGACATACAAGAGCTAACATACTTTTTCCAGAAATGATGTCCTAACATTTGATATTCAGCTACCTTTAGTTGTTCATGCTCATACACTTTATTTGCATTTACTAGAGAACTTACAAAAATGACTTTAAAAAAATTCTCTTTTTTTATTCTTTACTTATGCTCTGAAAAACTCAAACACAATTTCAAGCAATCACATTAAGACCCTCTTTGAAGTTTTTTTTTTCTTCCAAAATAGTTTTTATCAAGTCAAGAGTATATACTAAGCATATACTTATAAACACACTACACACAGTATTAAAATCAAGTAATAAGTAATAAGTAGACAATGCATGTAAAACAGAAGGCATTTATGAAAGTAACAAGACACTTACAAAAATGGAAAAACAAAATTTGTTTCCCGAGTGCTTAGTTGGGGACTTATTACGATCAAGCCTGGTTCCGAGGGACTGTAATTCCAATCACTTAAACTGAGGCAGTAAGATACACTTAGTTGGATAACAGAAACAGAAACGGTTAAATATGGTGTCAAAACAAAAACCTCAATGCAAACAATAAACAGGTAATGGGACCCAAGTAAGTGAAGATGCTCTTACTACATCTGTCTGGAAACATTTTGTAGGATGTAGAGATCTGGGATCTGATGATTAATGGCTTTTCAGATCTACCACCACACTGTAGCTCTAACCAGGAAACTGAAACTCATTATAAAGAGCCTATTATGTCTCCATTTCAGCAGCTAACAAGGTAACTTGTAATACTGTCCAACAATACTGGCAAGATGGTTTTCACCAATCTTAGTGGACTGTAGAATGCCGGAAGAGTAACGGAATGATTAATGTTGTAAATGGGCAAAACATTTCCTCCAAGACTGAGGAGACCGGTAGAGGAACTTCTTGAATTCCTAGGCCTTCTTATCAATTAAAAGTGCGTAGAAGCAATCCAGCTCCGTTTTGAGAACTTGGGTGGCTCTGAAAAGAGCCTTTGAGTCAAGAGCGAGTTCATCGCGCTCACTTGGAGCTGGTGTACTTGGTGACGGCCTTGGTGCCCTCGGACACGGCGTGCTTGGCCAGCTCCCCGGGCAGCAGCAGGCGCACGGCCGTCTGGATCTCCCGGGACGTGATGGTCGAGCGCTTGTTGTAATGCGCCAGGCGGGAAGCCTCGCCCGCGATGCGCTCGAAGATATCGTTGACGAACGAGTTCATGATGCCCATGGCCTTGGAGGAGATGCCCGTGTCGGGGTGCACCTGCTTCAGCACCTTGTACACGTACACCGAGTAGCTCTCCTTGCGGCTGCGCTTGCGCTTCTTGCCGTCCTTCTTCTGCGCCTTGGTCACGGCCTTCTTGGAGCCCTTCTTCGGGGCGGGCGCGGACTTTACAGGCTCAGGCATCTTGACAGACAAACTCCTGGAACTCCAACGGCCAGAGTGCCGGCCGGTACCTTTTTATAAGCCGTTATTCAAATGAGTCTTAGAAAGTTCCACTTGTGATTGGGCGATGCGTCTGTGACGTCATCTAAAGCTATGGCCCAATCGAAATACGCGTTGGCACAAACCCTTCCCATTGGTGTAAATGAGAAGAAGAAGCCAGCCAATCGCACGGGTTCTTTTTCGCGCCCAGAGGAAACTATAAGGACCAAGCTCTTGCCCCTTCAGACTCTACTCAGTTGTTGAACGGCTGTTCCTTTTCTGCCATGTCTGGACGCGGCAAGCAGGGCGGCAAGGCTCGCGCCAAGGCCAAGACCCGATCCTCCCGGGCCGGCCTGCAGTTCCCCGTGGGCCGTGTGCACCGCCTCCTCCGCAAGGGCAACTACTCGGAGCGGGTGGGCGCCGGCGCCCCGGTGTACCTGGCGGCCGTGCTGGAGTACCTGACTGCCGAGATCCTGGAGCTGGCCGGCAACGCGGCCCGCGACAACAAGAAGACGCGCATCATCCCGCGCCACCTGCAGCTGGCCATCCGCAACGACGAGGAGCTCAACAAGCTGCTGGGCCGCGTGACGATCGCGCAGGGCGGCGTCCTGCCCAACATCCAGGCCGTGCTGCTGCCCAAGAAGACCGAGAGCCACCATAAAGCAAAGGGAAAATGATTTAAAATGACTATTTACCAAAGGCTCTTTTCAGAGCCACCTCCCCTGTCTTTTAAAGAACTGGACATAGTCATATTGCTGCATAAGTTACTTTGGCTTCCTTTTAACAACTGTTGTCTAACCTGTAGTACGTTTATAGACCATAACCGCCGAAGAACAGTTTTTTTCCCCTTAAACAATATAAAGTTTGCTTTCCACACTATGATCTGTTTTGGTGAAAATACCAGGTTGAATGGAACGACTCTACGTGTTGATGAGTCAGCAATTTGGAGGTATTATTTTTTTTAAGTATTGCATTACCCTTGAACGTAATCCCTTAACATTAAGTTTGAAGAACCTGAAAATTCACTAGTTTTTGATTTAAGATATTTTGAAAGAATTAAAGTCAAGTTTTGATTATAATTCTAAGAGCAGGCTATTTCTTCTTTGAATTGAAAAATTGGGAAAATAGGGTGATTTTGGACTGAAGAGTAGGTTCCAGACCCTTAAATTGCTCCTATAAGAACCGGCGAAAATTTGAAATAATCTTGTTGACGGTTGAAATATGAATGTACACTGATGGTGGCTATCAGCCAATTGAAATTTGGTAGATCAAAAACTGTCAAATGTAGGTAATCTTTAAGGGCCTAATCGAAAGTAAAATATTTGAGAGCACAATGGCGTGGACACGTTACCTGGCGTACTAATTTACGCTAAGTGTACCTTTTATGAAAAATTGTCACTATTATGTCTACTGGAAAAGGTATATATAAAACCTATACCTGAGAAACAAAGAGACAGACCATAGATTACAAAGGGTATCAAATGATTTGCAAACATTTTCTTGAAAAAAGGCATGCCACTATATAATTCAGGGTCTTCAGCCTCAGTTTTCCATTTGCCTGGGGTAGTGGTGTATGATTTTAATACATGTTTCATATGTAACGGCCAGATTGGGGGAACAAAGGCGCGTGCACTGTTGACCAATACCTTTAAAGTTGAGTAGGCCTAATATAGTCTCGTCCAATCAGCTTCAGGTTCTGATTATAAATAAGCCTTCAGCAGGGACCATTTCATTCTACTTTGAAGTGAAGTCATGGCTCGTACTAAGCAAACCGCTCGTAAGTCAACTGGCGGCAAGGCCCCACGGAAGCAGCTGGCCACCAAGGCTGCTCGCAAGAGCGCCCCTGCCACCGGCGGCGTGAAGAAGCCCCACCGCTACCGGCCCGGTACGGTGGCGCTGCGCGAGATCCGGCGCTATCAGAAATCCACCGAGCTGCTGATCCGGAAGCTGCCGTTCCAGCGTCTGGTCCGCGAGATCGCGCAGGACTTCAAGACAGACCTGCGCTTCCAGAGTTCTGCCGTCATGGCTCTGCAGGAGGCCAGTGAGGCTTACCTAGTAGGTCTGTTTGAGGACACCAACCTGTGCGCCATCCATGCCAAACGAGTCACCATCATGCCCAAGGATATCCAGTTGGCCCGCCGCATTCGTGGGGAAAGGGCATAATTCTAGTAACAATCGTAAAAACACAAAGGCTCTTTTCAGAGCCACCTCCATTCTCACTTGAAAGTCTGTTTACACTAAGCTTTACGGCATCATGTATTCAATAGTGAGCTACAGAAGCTATTGTCTAATTTCTTAAGGATCGGTTCATATTGGTTATGGCTTTTCCCAACGTGTGGAAGACCGGTTGGGTGCGGTGTGGTGAGGCTCTTAGCAAAAGCTTTCTATTTCTAGTAATCTACATAGCACACAAAACAGCAAGACTGAGAAGTAATCACTGGCGACTATCCACGTGTGCTTGTGTGTGTTTTCAATAACAGTGGAGGCTGTGAGGAAATGCGACTCCATCCAGGATGTGACCTAATTTTTCTATGGCAGAGCAATTCCTGTCGGTCCAGTTTCTTCACCTGTGTACAGCAGTCTTCTCCCTGGTATGCTCTGCTTTGGGGAATTGCAACTTTAGATTCTACTTCCTGCTTTGTTGAAGAGGAATTTTGTCTCCAATAACTAGGTTTGGGTTGAAAGGAGGAGACAGGAGTGTGGGAGAATTCCAGAGGTTTCTCTCATGTCTTCCAATCTCTTAGTATTGAGACCTCATTAAGGAGAATTATCACCAAGATAATTCAAGGTCAAGGCAACATAACTGAGCTACCTTTCAAAATATATAGGCGACTTAATAGTTGACTCTAAGTGTTTTGCTGAAACTGGAACAGTGAACACAGTGAAGGTGAAACACTTGGTAGAAATTTCCCTTTCTTTAAAACCTTAAAAAATGGAAAATCCCCCGAGTTGTCATCTCTGACAACAGAACTTAATGCTCCCAGGTAGGATTCCCATCAGGGTGACTTTACCGTTAGCTTACTAGTGTTGTTACTTTCTCACATGTTATCTCTCTAGACCCTTAAAACAGCTGATGAGTTGCATGGGCTTGTTTTTCAAAGCTATTCTCTGTAAATCTCAAATAATGTGCCTTTTGTTTTGCCCCAGGCACTGAACCTAAACAAACAAACAACAAAAAGCCTAAAAAAAACTTTTTTTTTTCTGTTTTGAACTTTCATTAGAGAGGAATCAGACCCAAGGTTTCTGTGTTTCAAGATTTCAAATAGTACACCCAGGGCTTTTCCTCTTTCCACAGATAGATTGTTTCTGGGATTTAAAATAGTTGTTGCAAGGAAAGGAGATTGTTGAACCTTTTCTACTAGATGCCAAAACTAATCACTCAGAACCTAGTAACTCAGTGAGAAATAGACTCATTCAAGGAACATGAGTGTGTATTGTTTCCTATGTACAAACCGCACTTGAAAATTTACTAAGACAAATTGACTCTTAGAGATTAAATGTGACATTTGTCCCAAGAATAACAAAAATGTTGACACATTTTTAAAGGCAAATATCACTGACATTAAAGTTTAGAGAAGAAGGTGGATAGGGGAAAAACCCAGTTGCTGTGAAAGATAGGACTGGGCCAAACAGCTTGAGTCTAGGGAGTCAAGCAGGGCTCTTGCCTTTCGAAGAGTTTTGCCTGTACTGAAGTCATGTTTGATCTCACATTCTGCCTCTCATTTGTAAATGCTTTCCACTGGCAGAGAACATGGACAGGAGTCAGGTTGAATTTTAGCACTTTTACCTCTACACACTGCAAAGAAGCAGAGTGCAAGAATACTGCTTATTGTATGTTTTTCGAATGAAGAAAACAATAATCATTTCTCACCAGGATTGTGGCAAGTCTGAGAGGAACAAAGGGCTTGAAAGCAGCACAGGATTGGAGTTTAAATCCTTCTTACACAAATATTTATATCTGGAATAAAGAAAAGAACTACATTTGGCAATTGGGTGTGAACTACATCTAAACTTCCACTGCACTAACTGCAGCCATATTTTTTTCTTTTCAGGTTGTTTAGCTAATGTTATAATGAAAACACATTTCAGAAATAACTCGAACCAGCCCTCTTAACCTGAGAATCTCATACCCATCAATCACAAAGACTTGTGTATTCCTGCCTGACTCACAAGGTGGGGTTGCCCACTAGCAGTAGGCAGCTCCAAATGTGAGGTGGATAGAGATATTTTCCAATAGGCCTCGTTAGAATCTGCAGTTTACTACAGTCCTTTCCTTTTTCCTAAAAATCCTGATAAGGTTCACTGGTAAACATGGGGAAAATATTGGTGACACAGGTGATTCCTATCGGGTAAAAAAAAAAAAAAAATCATAAAGCAATGCCTGGTACTCTATTGCCTTTTGTGTCTGACAAATCCGACCATATTAAAGGAGAGAGGGCTCGTGCAACGGACTGCCGGTATAAGCACCTCCGCCAAGTCCTGCACAACACACATAATTATCACCAAGCCTTCCATCTGCTGCCTGCAGCAGCAAGGCAACATCAAGGGCATCCCTGACTTAGCTTTTCCACAGGCTGCCTTAGTGTTCTGGCGCTGTGTACGTTTTTCTGTATAGGCTGCTGTTTCTGTGACTAATTTCGGGCTTCTCTTCGAACCTTGAACTGTGTAACTTTGTAATTTGTAAATGAATGCCAACCACAAGCCAGTGTCTTCAGTTAATGTAACATAGTAGTCAAACCTCAAAGTTCTCGGGGTTTGTAAATACAGGAAGTTTGCTGGTTTATCCATTTTGAATTTTTTTCGCGCCAAAACCGCAACCCTTGAGAGGCAGTATTAACTGCAATTTCTACAGCAGTTTTCCTGTGATGAAATTCTTGGAGCGATTAAGTGTGAGAGGTACTGATGACTCCAGGAATTACTAATTTTTTGTCAATTTTCCTTTCAGTTTTCTCGTTAAATTTGTGTTCCAAATGGCTCCTTTGTTTAAATAATGAAAAGGTCCGTTGATTTTCAAAGACAACATTTTCTAGTGATGTTAATTCCTGGGGTATGCTCGAGTAAATTTTACATGACAAAAGAATTTTGTAAGAGACGAATAATTCCCTTATATTACTGGGTTTAAACGCGGACCAATCCGACGTCTCGATGTATGATGTCAGCAATTGACTGTCCAATCCAGTATCGAGGCTCCTTATATAAACGAAGATTTTTCCTAAAGTTCAGTCACTGTGTTTCTTACTTCGTCGAAATGGCTCGTACAAAGCAGACTGCTCGCAAGTCTACTGGAGGAAAGGCCCCTCGCAAGCAATTGGCCACCAAGGCTGCTCGCAAGAGCGCCCCTGCTACCGGCGGCGTGAAGAAGCCCCACCGTTACCGACCCGGAACCGTGGCGCTGCGCGAGATCCGTCGCTACCAGAAGTCCACCGAGCTGCTGATCCGGAAGCTGCCGTTCCAGCGTCTAGTGCGTGAGATCGCGCAGGACTTCAAAACAGACCTCCGCTTCCAGAGCTCAGCTGTCATGGCCCTGCAGGAGGCTTGTGAGGCCTACTTGGTGGGTCTGTTTGAGGACACCAACCTGTGTGCCATCCATGCCAAACGAGTCACCATCATGCCCAAGGACATCCAGCTGGCCCGCCGCATTCGCGGGGAAAGGGCGTAGTTTCCCCCTGCTTTCTAAGTTAAAAAGGCTCTTTTCAGAGCCCCTTCCTTGTCACCAAAATCGAGCTGTGCATCTACAAATTCTGATAAGGTGATCTGATGTTCACATAAGTTCTTTTCTCAGCACTCAGCACAACTCTTCTAGTTTGTCACCTGGGTTCCTTGTGTTGAGATAAGCAGTTAATGCTAGGAGCTTTTTATAGAGCCTTGTAACACCAATTGTCATGTAGTATTTTGGTAACATTTGTGCTGTCGGAAGGGTTGTACAGGAAGGGTTGTACAGTGTGCCAAAGTCAGCAAAATTTAGTCCTTTAAACACCTAATGTGTAATACCTCTTTCCCTTTGCATTCTGCTACAGGTAATTCTTAACCTAAATTTGAAACTTCACACTCTAGAAATCCTTTTGTTATAACCTGGTTTTGTTCCTTTTGTGTCAATACTTCAGTATGTATCACTCTGTCTTGGAAATATTGGCAGCCCTGAACACTCTCGAGTGCTAAAATGGCCTGTGTCTAATTAGGCTGATTAACGAAAAAGTAGAAGTTTTAAATCACATACCATCTGTGCCTTTTTCTGTTAATGTTTATATGTTTAAAAAAGTTCCCACTTTGTACACCATTCCTAGATCCTGTAGCTAACATGTAGGCCTCTTTAGTATTCTTGTACTTTTCATTTTTAATTTTTAGGTCTCAAGTATTGTTGAATGTTGTAGTAACCTGAATATGTAGCAACGAATCACCTTTGAATCTTCCCTCAACTTCATAATTGGTAGGATTATAGGCATGGCTCTGCAAACCCTGATGAAGATTCCCATTGTCAAAAGAAATTGCGTGTGTGTGTGTGTGTGTGTGTGTGTGTGTGTGTGTAATAAAACAACAGCATCCTTGTGATTTATTTTACATCTAAATCTGATGATGACCTTTATTAATTAGTACTGAATTCTGTACATCTTTCTCCACCATAGCAAGTGTTACCTCTCATGATAGTAAGCTTCACCGTTTCCCTTGTGGCAAACGTCACCACATCCTTTGTCTTTACCTTTATTTATCTTAAATTCTTTGAAACTATAATTGCCAGCTTCCTAATAATATTCTAAAATATTGGTTAGCTTGGTATCGTAACATACAAACAATACCCAAATTGGCATTGACTACTGAAGAGCATGCGTGATTGTGCAACTGTTGCTAAATGTTCTGAAATTCGCACTGGCCAACTCAACCAAGTCCATTTGAGGGCTGTAGGGTCACTCTAATAATTTTCTGAAAGTTTTAGAGTTTTCCTAATGTAAATATTTTCTGTCTCGTACACCATTAGGAAGTTGACAAAAGCTGGTCAGGTCCATATCTAATTCATTTTACCTTAGAAGCAAGTTGGTTTGCCTCTGAAGATAGTGATTTCTTTTTAAATATTTGAGTTACTTTTTAAAACTTTATGTGTATGAGGTTTTTGCCTATATATATACATATATATATATATATATGTGCATATATGTGCACCACTTTCATGCTTGGTAATCTGGAGAATTGAGAAGAAAGCCAGAGATTCCCCGGGACTGGAGTTATAGACAACTGCAAGCTTGCCCTGTGAATGCTGGGAAACAAATGCACATCTGCCAGAGCAGCAGCTGCTCTTAACCGCCAAGCCATTTCAACAACTTCTCAGGTGAATGGATTCTAAACTTTCACAGTGGAAGAAATTGCATTCTCCATTAAAGATAGCAATGTGTGCCAAGTATGAGAAGCCTGACCCATTTTGAAAAGAAATACCTAAAGTGGCTAATTTCTGTTTGTTGCCAACCGGGCACTCTACTTGTGTTACTTGCTTTAACCAGAAACAAAATTTGTGACCAAACAAAAACAAATTTCTTTTAGTCTTTCAAAAAGTAAAGGCGGTACTTGTAGACAAATCCTTATAAGTAATGTTCCTTGCATACTTAGTATAAGTTTGTGGAAACAACCAAGTAACTATCAGTATGCCCCCGCTTTATGGATTCTTCGTAAACATTGGAAGCATTTTTTAAAAGAATATCTTCGGTCTGTTGAGTGTGGTTCAAAAACATCACACATAGGTATGTGAACCCGAAGGTTGTTCTCCTTTGGAACCACAAACTGCCAATTCCTATGCCCTTATTTACAGTAGTAAGTAAAAATTTGGGGACCAACAAACACAATTTGAGACTCTAACCTTGAGTCCAGGCGGCCAGAAGGCGGTGGATTGGACGCTCCACCAATCACAGCCCAGCTCTGGCTTATATAAGCCCGGAGGCCGCGCTTAAGACCATTACAAAATTTTCTCTTGAGGTAGGTGTCCTTTGCCTTCATAGTAGCTCGCCATGTCTGAAACTGCTCCTGCCGAGACTGCTGCTCCGGCTCCAGTGGAGAAGTCTCCTGCCAAAAAGAAGACGACAAAAAAGGCTGGCGCAGCGAAGCGCAAGGCAACCGGTCCCCCGGTGTCCGAGCTCATTACTAAGGCTGTGTCGGCCTCCAAGGAGCGCAGCGGCGTGTCCCTGGCCGCACTTAAGAAGGCGTTGGCTGCAGGTGGCTACGATGTAGAGAAGAACAACAGCCGTATCAAGCTGGGGCTTAAGAGCCTGGTGAGCAAGGGCACCCTGGTGCAAACCAAGGGCACCGGCGCCTCCGGCTCCTTCAAGCTCAACAAGAAGGCGGCTTCCGGCGATGCCAAGCCCAAAGCCAAGAAGGCAGGCGCGGCCAAGGCTAAGAAACCTTCAGGTTCCACCCCGAAAAAGCCTAAGAAGGCTGCGGGGGCCAAGAAGACCGTGAAGAAAACTCCAAAGAAAGCAAAGAAGCCTGCTGCGGCTGGAGTGAAGAAAGTTGCTAAGAGCCCTAAGAAGGCCAAGGCAGCCAAGCCTAAAAAGGCAGCCAAGAGCCCAGCAAAGCCAAAGGCTGTGAAGCCAAAAGCAGCCAAGCCTAAAGTTGCCAAGCCCAAAACAGCTAAGCCTAAAGCTGCTAAGGCAAAGAAAGCTGTTTCCAAGAAGAAGTAGGATTGCTTCTGGCAGCAACCAAGCCCCAAAGGCTCTTTTCAGAGCCACCCAGAGAGCTCATTGAAGGTAGCTGTACACAAGTGATGTAGCGTTTAAAATGTGTTTGAATTCTGTTAACTACCTGAAATCTGTCTGCCACGAGGCAGTTCAGATGAGACTGGCAAGTAATAATTATACCGGTGGTCAGCGTACTCTTCAGATTACTCACCGTGTTCACTCGCACCCTAGCACAATGCCTCTTTATTTTTAGTTCCCCTCTCCGGCCACACTGCACGCACTCCCCAGGGATTTTCTATCATGGATTAGTAGTTTCTTGCCTTTTCGTACGCCTTTTTTTATCCTCTGTTCTGCGAAGTCAATGTAATTTCGACTGGCAGTTTTTTTTTTTTTCCTTTTTTTTACAACATACAAATCAACGCAGGGCGCGAAAAGCGGCTGAATTCATTGGCTGTACCTAACCTTATTTCCTAACCCAGTTGCATCATGGTTTTGTGCTAGCCTTACCTCGATTGGACAGTTAGTTGATGACGTTTGCCCAGTCACGCCACTCAATCCCCTTCACTTTGAAAAGATGCCCTTTCTTAGTATTAGATCCCGTAAGTCAGTTCCCTACCGGAAGGAGCTCTTTAAGAAGGCGGTGACCCAGTCGTAGTAGAATCGTTAGTAGCGCAATCGCAGCTTTAAGGAGAGCCTATGTACGAGTTGCTGAAGCAGCTACACCCCAGCACGGACATCTCTGCGAATGCCATGTGCCATTCAGGCCGTATCCAAGTGCACCAGGGTTCTCCAAATTTCAAGTCATTTACACGTTATGTTTGTGTGGTTTTCAATGTGTAACAGCCTTGCCTGGAACTAACGCTGTCCTCAAATTGTCCATCCTGTGACTGCCTCCTAGTGCTGGGATTAAAGAAGTGTACCACCACCATCCGGGTCATTTACACGTTTTATGGAGTGTTTACTTTGTTCTTCCATTGGTAGCATATAGGCACTGAAGTTCCTTGATATAAGTACTTTTTTTAAAAAGTTTATTAATTTCGTTGATTTTACACCCCAAAAGTATGTATTACATTAGGTCGGTTTTAAGCGTTAAAGATTGTTATTCGTTTTCACTTTTACTTAGTCATCCCTTAACTGTTGCAGGCTTCTCAGCTGGGCAGTTAGAAAAGCTTTAATAAATAAGTAGTCTTTAAGGGAACTTAAAAGTCACGTTTTCTTCAACAATATAAGTAATGGGAATGTGTTTTCTTACAGGGTTAATTTGTGTGAAATGCCTGAATGTTATCAAAGTTACATTATATTGGGTTAAGACACCTTACAGGCTTAATACAGAATTGACTTCTAGTGTAAACGTTATGTTGGTAGTTGGATTTTTTTTTTTTTTTTTTTTTTTTTTGCCAATTTGTATATCTGATCTAGGTACAGCAAAATACCTATTTTTTTTTTTTTTGCTTCTGTTGCCATACTTTTTTAAAAATGAAATTTCTACAATGAAAATGCTAGCTCCATTTGCTGCTTGTGTTTTATTTGCCTTTTAATGTTTTAACCCTCTAAAAGATTTTTTTTGTTGATTCCTATCGCGGTAAATAAGGATCAGGATAAACAAATAGGCCGAATAAATGTTTATTCAGGGAGAAATAACTTACAACCTAGACATGAACACCAGGAAATTCAACCCGACCCTCTCCTGTCCAAGTCACTCTAGAAAAAGAGCGCCTTTCCTGGCCACCTCTGACCTCCTTCCTCAGGTCACCTCCGCCCATCGCTCCACCCCCCAATGGGCGTGGTCAGTGCCACAGAACTATCTCACTACAATTCCCCTTTTAGTCTAAAGAAAAGATTTAGGCTTAATACAAAACTATATACAAAACAGTGAATAACAAGTGTACTCTAAGAAAAGGAAAATTGAGAACAAAATGACCTACATATCTAGTCCTAGGGTGAGGGCATAATGGAGTTTACAATAGAGTTGTCCTAAGCTGGAAAACGTAAGTCTAGCACCTAATATATCTAACTAGGAAGAGAGAATAATAGTTGTGATAGTTTAATTTTCATCCTCATCCAGACCTGAGAAGGAAATTAACAATACTAGAGTAAACAGGAAATGCGGATGGACAACTTCCAAAAGGTGCAGCAAGGACAGAAACAGCAAGCCACCTGAACAGTCACCCTAGGTCACACAGCCACGTTGGTACACCCAGATTTGGCTAAGGCCAAGAGAACTTGACAGACCACAACAACAGCAGGGAGGTAGAATGGCTGTCTTACCCTGACTTGGCAAGGTCCAGCAGTCTTCTATATTTGTCTCCTGCAAGCACATAGGACTGCATGTCCAAATCAGTGGTCAAGGTGTGGGCAATTCTTTGCCCAACAGGCAATTAGCTGAGGCGAGATTGAACTCCAGCAGGAGCAACAACAGTGTCCAACATATTTTTGGGAAAGTGCACGGTGCTGTCAGGAGCAATAGTGTCTCATGTCAATGGAGTACTAATATTAAAACATTTAAATGCCATGTTCTGCATGTCTATGAAGTGATTGAAGATTAAGCATCTATATTTGACTAATCTCATAGGTACAGGAAATGTGAGTGAAGATAATCTGTAATACTCGGGAACTTAGCTAAAAAGACTGATTAAAACTTCCCTGAGTAAAGCAGGAACAAATACTTAATATAACTATTTACATATACATACATGTAAATCCCTAAAATAGAGGTAGAGTATAAGTGTCAAGACAAGAGGTAGAACTATAAAGGGCAGCAAGATAAATATCCCAAATTGTATCAATATACAAAATGTCTTGAATACAAGAAAAGTATACATACATAGAATATGGTAAAAAAATAATGTGCATAAAACATTGTAAGTGGAAAGATTTAATACAATATAACAAAATATAAACTTAATTTTACATAGCTTACCGCATAAGAATATACAACAATGTAAGCTGTAAAATACTATCTCATTCTTACTCAAATTCTCAAGAAAATAGGCTAATCTACCTATATCCCATCTAAACCATACCTTTCCCAACCATTCCCTATTCCTGTCTAAAAGATAAACCCGAGTGTAAGCATCACCCAATCCCAAATAACTAAAACCAACCCAAAGACGATGACTATTATCCCCCCCAATGGGCGTGGTCAGTGCCACAGAACTATCTCACTACAGATTCCTTATTTTATTTTTCAGTTATGGTCACAAAGCAGCCCAGACTGACCTGCAGCTGAATGGAGTGAGGGGACGATAGCATTTTACAATGCAGGCCTCATCTTGTATTAGGTTCCACATGGTTCAAATTTTCCTTCATCCACAATGGAGATTAATCTTCTAAAATTAGCTTTATGTTTCATATCACTATATTCTTGCTTTTCTGCAACATGGGGGCTATTAGAATATTACTTAGAAGTAATAAGCAGTTTATAAATATGATGCCTTGCCTTAAGCAGACTTAGAGTGCCCTCTGCCCCAATCTTAAGACCTTATTCTTAGACATGTTGCAATTTAAATTCCTTAGTTTGTCAATATGTTTTCCATGTATTTTCAACAAATGGAAAATTAGGCATCAAGTGACTAATTGGTAGGACAGAGTATATTTTTGTACTTGAGTAACAAAGGTATTTCTGAAGTTTGCTTGACAGACAAGACATAACCAAGTGTCAAAGATTTTTTTTAATTGATGTCTTCATAGGAATGCTACTTTATTTATTTGGTTATTTAAAAGGGATATGTGTAGCACCCATGCTATGTTCTGTTCCACTAATTGGGCGAAAGCCTAGAGATTGAAATAAGTGAAAATGGTGAATGCCCTTCATTGAGGAGAAGGAGTGGGCTTATACACTGACTCACAGCACAGTGGAAAACAGCAGGGTCAAGAGTACAAGTTTTCAGGCTTAGCTCCTACCTAGCAGATGTGTGTTAGCAAAACAGGAAGAGTACCAGCAAGAACTGGAGTATACTTTGCTGTCTTGCACTGGGGTTTGTAGGGCTGCAATCAGAACCAGCTGATGATCCCCGGTTCTGTGTGTGGATAAGGGAAAGGCTAGCTCTCAGTGATGAAAGAAAGACAAAATATGATGTGAGGCAGGCAGATTCAGTCCATACTGAATGCTCCCCATTTATTTCATATACCAAATTAAGTAATGAACCAAAAGTGGGGACAATGGCAGTATACTTCTATTATTATGTAGAAAGGGCAAATAGCAATTACTTTCTTTAATCATAAAGGTACTCCATTAACAGCACTACTCTCAGGGTGGGGTATGATCTGCCCAAAATGTGTTAATAGGTGACACTCCCAGATAGTTGTCTCTTATTTCACAGTACGGGAGACACTCCAGCTGGGTTACTGCAGGACTGCTTTGAACAGCGACTCTGGGGCCTTTTATTCCAGAGGGAGAAGTTCTAGTGTTGCAGCACTGAGGCTCTGCTCAGAAAGGACAGACAGCAAGATGTAGGAGACAGCAAATTGGAGGACAGCAGTGAAACAGGGAGGGAAAGGGGACAGGGCAACCCTAAGGCGAGGGAGGTGGGAAGGGGCAGAGTACCAGACACAAAGGAAATGGCTTGGCTCTGGCCCAGTTGGGTGAGAAATGGCCCTGGTTCTATGAAACCTACTGGGATGAAGGCCAGGCCAGCATGCTTGCAGTACGCCCTCCCACTCTACCCTTTGAGATCAGCAATTGTGTAACCTTGGGTTTTCTGAGCTGTACAAAAGACTTGTTATACTAGAATGTGCTCCGTTCTGCTTCTTTGGGGACTGAGGACACAGCAGTTGTTCTTGAGGATGGACTTGTACCAACCCCATCTCAGCATTTCTTTGAAGCTTAAGCTGAGGTAAGCTGAATTTGGTACCTCTGGGGCTCTGGATGGAGGATTTAAGACCATATCAAGATCAAAATCCAGGAAGGGACACCTAACATTTAGAACCCAGATTGAATTATTCTGCAAGAATTGAGAAAAGTCCAGACATTTTCTGACTAGAATGTTTTGGCCATCGTATTT